TAGAGCAGAAAACCAAGAGGCACGTGCCATCATATTAAGCCTAGCTGGGTCCCTCATCCAGCAAGATGCCATACTGGAAGAAGCATCGGACCTGGGCTCACTTAGAATCGCAACAGTCCCAGTTGCTATTAATACAATAATGGGTAGAGTTATTGTCACAGAAGAGATGGTGACAGAAGAGATAGTCAGGGTCACCAAGGCTGTCTCAGTAAAAGTTCGCCCACATGGGCAAAGCCGACTTGGAGCCCCATACCAGTCATGGGTAGCCCTTTTCGAAAAATCATCGATCCCTCGGCCAGGCTTCCGACTTTTCGACGACTCTGGGATTGCAGTCCGCCACCAGCCTCGTCAAAGCATCAACCAGTGCAAAAGATGCCTACAATTCCATGGCACCAGAGGCTGCTCGCGCGCCCTAGCCTGCTGGAATTGTACTTCAACTATGCATTCCATCGCGGAGTGCAAGGCACACACCAAGTGCCGCAACTGCGGAGGTCCACACAGGTCAGATAGTCGGGACTGTCTAGCTCGTCCAACAAAGTCTGGAATGGCCTCCAGGGAAAACCTTCAGACCATAAGGCATGCTATCCAACGCGAATTTGCAGCAGTCACTCGGGCCAAAGCAGCTGTCAAACGCGCAGAGGCAGCGATGACAGCAGCCACAGAAGCGTCAAATACTAACCAGCCAGGTTTCAAATCGACCAACTGTTTTGAAGTTCTCATGTCCAACGCTACAGCAACTGTAGCCGAGGTCGATGAGGCATAAAATCAGCAAAAATCTTTGTGATGGACACCACACAGGTCTCTTCAAGCCTCTCTCCTACTCTAAGCTTTATGTCAATAAACGTAGGTAGAGGGGGCTCAACGCAAAATATTGCGCTTGCCCGAGCATTTGAGCTGGGTATTGACGTGGTTCTTGTTCAAGAACCGCTGTGAAATAAACAAAAGAACACAACAAAGGATCACCCAGGATATACCTATCATCTGCCTAACGGCGGCGAAAATGTTAGGCCGAGGGCTGTGACCTATACCCGGATAGACGATAAAAAGATATCGGCAACACAGATCTTTCCTTATGTTGTGTCTACAGGAGACTATTGCTGGGTAGAAGTGAACAGCATTACTTTTCTCAACGTCTACAAGGCACCCAATGACTCGACAGCTATACAGTGTCACAGGCTCATACCTGGTTATCATTAGGCTGCTGCCTAACAAATAAGGCTTGGACTCTTCCAACCATATTAAACATCATACATGTCATGAACCCCTCCACAACTCATTAGACCCAAGTATAGGCCTTGGCCCAATCCATGCAAATCTATTCTTAAATGTCAAATTTAGATTGCAGACGGGACGACTCGGACACCAGTCGTGAGTCATCTAAGCCACATGCATCATAACTATTTTAATAACTAAAATTACTAACATTAAAATGAAGCTGAATTAAAATACACGGAGATGCAGGTGTTTGTCGGAGGACAGTGTGACGGTCTTAAAGTGGCGTTTTATTCAAACTGAACTTAGAGCTAGATACAAATGAAAATCTTAAAGTAACAAGCAGAGACATGACTGCAAGCCTCCTATTTATTTACAAGCCAATGATCTCGTTCCCTCATTTCATACCATTCTCAAAATAGATCATGAACTGTCCTCCGACAAACACCAGCATCTCCGTCTATTTTAATTCAGCTTCATTTTAATGTCAGTAATTTTAGTTATTAAAATAGTTATGATGCATGTGGCTTAGATGACTCACGACTGGTGTTCGAGTCGTCCTGTCTGCAATCTAAATTTGACATTTAAGAATAGATTTGCATGGATTGGGCCAAGGCCTATTCTTGGGTCTAATGAGTTGTGGAGGGGTTCATGACATGTATGATGTTTAATATGGTTGGGAGAGTTCAAGCCTTATTTGTTAGGCAGCAGCCTAATGATAACCAGGTATGAGCCTGTGACAGTTGCCCCTCGGTAGCCATCAGAGTGATGTGCACCCCAGTCTAAACGCATTGGTCCACCAGGCAACGCTCGGATGTAGGGATGTTGCCAGAGTGATTAGGTACTTAGCTGTGCTGCCAGTGCCCTAATCTCATCTAGCTTACTGCGGCCGAGTGTCCGAGTGCCGCAATGGTGGGAGCCTGATGAGGCTCGATTGGAGCTGACCCGAGGTATTCACAACAGAAGTTCATGCGGTTGGAATGAGTTGGGCCTGTACGCAGTGATCCTTGCCGGCTCTGTCGGTCCTTGACCCAATGTGGAATAGATAGCGTTAGCTTAGGACCAAAAATAAAAATGAAAAAAGAAAGCGTTTATATCTTAACACCACTTTCAATTCATTCTATATTCTAGCAAACAATGTCTCTCAAAAAGTCTGCATCAGTAACTGAAGTTCGCAAACATCTAACTTGTCATCAATGTATTGAGATAAGAACAAAAAGAAGACTTGGCTTGACATTACAACATATATCTGACGAATTTAGCTTCACAAGAAGGCAAGTGCAATTTGCGTGTGCTCGAGAGACAGAGAATCCTATGCCTCGCAGAAGACGCTCACCTAAATTAAGTGCGGAACAAGTTGATGAGCTTGAGGCTTTCGTGCGGGAATCTCCCGAAAATCGACAGATGTGCTCTTTGGAACTAGAAATGGGACCCTTAAGCCACTAGGGATGCGATGGGCATTAACTTTCAAATTCCCTCAATAGAATAGATTACAGCAGATGCATTGCTCGGAAGAAGCTTCCGTTGAGTGTGCTTAACATTCACGAAAGATGTATAGCAGTGATAAAAGAAAATGGAGGATACACAAAGTATTGGGATGGAGCAGAATAATGCAGAACATGTTGCGCACTTTCATTTTACTTGCGAGGCACACTGAGGGCTTCGATGTATACTTTTGTAATACAGAGCAATTAATTTTGAAACACATGTGTATTTTTAGAGAATATCAATTGATTTTTTTTAATTTTTATGTTCAATGAAGTCTGATGTATAGTTCCATTGGTGTTGAAAACCGTGCCCATTAATTTCGACTTTCACGGAATATCATTGGATAGTACCCCTTGCTTGCTTAGCTAGTCGATAAACTAGACATGGGCCTGCAAGAAGACTAAACCAATCTAATCAATATGAACAGGGGTCTAAACCCAGTCATTTTGATAATTTTTCCTTTGACATCCTTAAGAGACTGTTCACTGATCATGATTGACATTATCTCTTGATCTCAAAATATAGACATGCGCTAGGAATAGAGTAACATGCGGCTCTAAATACAGAATGCAAGCACTGACCGAAACAAACAACCCACGTACGTATGGATAGTCTCTATTTTAGACCTGAGACATTACTCTGTCCAACTCCTCCAGTAGTTATTCTTAGCCTTCGACAGATAGCGCTTGACGTCTAGCATGAAGAAGAAGAATGTGGATCGAGATCTTCCATATTGATGACTATTGAAATAAGAGTGAAAAGGTTGATCATGTACTGAGGTGTATCAGCAAGTTTTAAATACATAGACTGTGCACAATATATACCACCAACTGTACTAAATCCTAGCCGTTCCGTCATTTATAAATGATATTATTAGATATATCTGCGTCATATTATCATCTATAGCTGAGATACTGGTGTTGTCATTGCTGTGTGTGGATGACGGACAATTGACGCAGGATCAATTGTCCAGTTGGTAAGACTTGCTTAATAATCGCCATTTTCAGTTGTGTGATCTATAAGTGGGCCTGATCACAAAATTACTGATACTTTCAATCTGCCTGTACTGAGTAGCATAGAATTCAGATGCGCTATCGGCTTACTAGGTCTCACATCTACTGCTGAGTCACTCATCTTCCTTGTTAGCTAGGCGTAGAGGATCTAGCATTAAAGCTTATTCATATCTTTGCTTTGGAGCTCAGTTTACCCAGACACTTTCCTGCTCGAGCCGCTTGCCAGCCTACTCTGCAACAGGCTCAGGTGTCAATCCAATGATCCAAAACAAAGCGAGAATACTCATAAACTTAACTTTGACCCATGAATAGTTGGAACAGCGGGCTATTTTGTAGCACAAGCGGGTCGGAAAATATTGACTAGGGCCTAGTCGGAACATTAAGTGTTGGAAATATTGGTCAATGAAATGAGCGGAATATTACTGGAACAATCAAAAAAGCTGAGTAAAGAATACTAGTAGAAGAAGTGATTTTCACAATGGGTCAATTGGCCGCGTTAAAAAACTAAGTAGCCTCCCAAATGGCATGAGGTCGAGCTGAGTCCGGGAGTAGTAGTATAGCGTGAGGTGAAGAGAAATTGCGCCAAATCACCCAGTGACTCCATTTCCCAGATAAAGTATATAAACAATGTCTTGGACTGATTTCAAGTGCGCCATATTATCTATTAATTATCTAAATGCCTTGTGATATTTGAGCAAGACATTGTCACTTGCAGTGAGTGTAGATCTATCCAGTAATTTGAAAGTTCATTGTTCATGCTGGTGGATTGGGGTTCGAGGGGTTAGAGCGCAACTAGTTTCCAAATTTCCGAATCCCCTCTTAAAATGTGTCAGGCAAGTAAATGTCAATAAGGAGACTAATCCTATTCCCCTACATCTCGATGATTAGCCACAAAGCCTATTTTCGGACAATCATTCACCATTGAGGGCGAGTGGGGCTTTGCAATTTTAGTTCCCAGAAAGATGTTATATGAAGTAGCTAACATGGATTAAACTAATATTGCAAATGCCTTATAATTCCCATAGTTCAAACATGGTTGATTGAGCTTGCCAAGCCACACTTTAGCTAGAAACGAGTGTATATTAACTGCATCCTGAAATCACCAACAAGCCATTTCCATTCCGTACTGCAATTTTATAAATCTTCAAATTCCAGCTTTTCATAGCCCTTAGATACTGAAGATATACAACTACGGGACATTCTACAATGAAGTTTTTCACCATCACCGGCGTTTCAACGCTCTTCTGCATCATAGCGCCAGTAACAGCTCTAGAACCAGTGCCTGACATGAATCGAAATTTCAGCTTCGAGTGCCCAACTGGTAACGAATTCACAAAAGCTGAACTCTTGCAAAAAGTTCTGTTTGCCAAACAATTTATACGTCCCGATAAACCAGATAAACAATATCCTGATAGATTCGTTCATTTTGGGTACGACATTCCTGGAGAACTATGGTATTATCCTATGGCAGGTAATAAAAGAATCCATGATATTTAGTTGCTTTCCAACTTCTTTCATACTAATCACTGGCTACAAATTTCTAGAGGGCCCAGGTCCACATGATTTCGTTATATTCAACATAAATAATCGAATAGTGGGCGTAAACAGCCGCGTTCTTAGTCGACCAGGCGACGATATTATTTTACCTTGTAAATTCACGTTAGTAATTGTCACCCAACACATACTCTTTACATGTCAAGATATGACTAATAATATTTGTTAGATATGTGAATTGGTGAATGATATCAGGTTCCGATGTGTATAGCATAACTGGCTATTTCAAATGATGTGTTAGACACTAAGGGTCCAGTTAATTGAATAGAATCAAAGTCCGTACTGGATCTTTAGCTAGAAGACCTTGGTTCAATTGAAAAATGTAAAAGTACATTGAAGGATGATATGGTTAGAAAACTGTACTGCTGGAAAGTGCCTAAAGCTTATTGCATATGTTATTGTACTAACTACTGAGTTCTACATTTACCATACATTCTATAGACCCTAGTTTAGTCCAGCTTACAAATCAAGTCATATGTCTTCTAAGGCTCATTGACTGATACTTTAACAAAGTATAATGATGAGATCTCTACTTCTTTCCGATCTTGATGCTATATATCCAACTAAAACAGTTTCTAGGAGAGAGTATCTTCGCCTCGGTTCCCAAAATAACAGATGTTGAAGATCAAAATATCTCAAGTTCGAGTTTTGATTGTCCTGAACATCCTGATTATCATGTCCTGGTTGAAATTGTAAAGCTCGAGACAATTATAAGGAGAGGATTTGTCATCCCATATTCAGTGATTCTCATCACTAAGTTTAGTAGGCCTTTGTTTATCAGCTGTTCAACATGATGCAATTTTACATGTGTTTGTAAACCCTTTTGCTGTTTGAAGAAGCATGAATATATTTGTTATGGCTTGACTGTTTTTTAAGCTCAGGAGGAAATCTAACAGTTTAATGAGGAATAATTACAATGAGACTGAAAGGAGAAAGATGGACAAATATAGATGAAATGGCGCTACTAGCCAGGAGGTCGAAGCAACATCATAGCGTGATGGCTCCTAATTATACTTGGCTCGGTAGCAAGTATTAGACCTAGGGGAAAGTTATCAGTCAGCAGATTCACGAAGCGAACCAAACGTTCTAAGAACGTGTTAGTAGTAGCTAGAGATTTCTTTTCTTTTCACATAGTTTAATAAATCGATTTATTTATTACCAACTCGGTATCTGTCACAGTTAGCCATGCTAAATATTTATGATGAAATTGAACCCAGCTCATACAGTGTTGCCAAGTCTTCACCTCATTGGGCTTACTGGGAAAAGGCATTTGATGAGGAGATAGTATCCCTTGAAGATAACGACGTTTGGGATGTTGTTCCTCGACTTAAAGGACGAAAAGTTGTTAATGGCAAATGGGTGTGCAAGATAAAAAGAGATGCACATGGGGATGTTGAACAATACAAAGAACGTTACGTTTCCAAAGTTTTCTCACAGATCCAAGGACTTGGCTATGACGAAACCTATGCTCCAGCTGCACGACTTGATTCACTATGGTTAAACTTGGCGATTGCGGCATCTAAGAAATGTGTTGTGTTATCCATGTAACTTACCATGGTACATGCTTTAGGTCGCGTCATAGCATATGCACGTAACTGTGGAACTAAACTGTGGGGTGTTTAGTGTGTAATGCATGTGTGGGTATACTGGACCAAACTAGAACTCGATAGAATAGAGATAATGGAATCAGCGAGAGACTGATGGACTGAGAGGGAACGAGCTGGTCATTTCTCGTAGGAGAGAAATGATATCATAAGGAAATGTCCTAGCACTAGGCTGTGAACAACACAGTAAGTCTGGAGCAAGATATAAGGAGGTCTCAACCTCCATCCATTTGTTGTAACAAAGTTTCCTTTATACGAGAATTTAGAGTCAAGTCTTACATATCACGAGAACACACGTAACAGCGACTATAGAGACCTACTGTAAGCATAACTTCCCCAGGAGTATCCATCGTCCCGCTCCTATATAGCCTAGTTAATTTAATAAAATGGAAAACGAGACAGCTCGACATTAAAATTGCATTTCTATATAGAATCTTTAATGAGGACATTTACATGGAACTTCCTGAAGGGTACAGGCAAGGATATCATGTTGCAAAACTTAAGAAGTATATATACGGACTCAAGCAATCACCCCAGGAATGGTTCTCTAGGTTGGCTGAATATATCATTCCTTATGGTCTTGTACCCTCCCTATTTGATCCCTTTGTAATTATCCACAACACAGGTAAAATGATCATTGCAGTTTACGTGGACAACATAGTACTAGTTGGAGAACAACAGGAGCTCATCTAAGATTTAGTAAACCACTTTAAGGCCGAATTCAAGATCAAGGATATGGGAAGTCTTCATTGTTTACTTGGAATTCAGATTGAGTACTCTGGTGTAGAAATTACTCTATAGCTGATGGTTCATAGTGCTCCACTAAAATAGATTTGTCATCATGGGGAATCGCATTACAGGCTCGCTATGAACACGCTAGCTAGGTCCCACTTTGGTTATGAGTTGGGACTCTCTCTCCCTGACAAGACAGACAGACAAGACAATTATAAACATTTTTAGACCAACACAGAATCGTACAATTCTTTACTGAATCATTAAGATCGATCGTGAAACCACACCGTAGTCTATCCAACAATAACAGTCTGCTAACATAAATAGAATCCTTGAAAGGTTTTTGATGCAAGATTGCAATACAGTCTCCACACCTATAGAGCGTAACCAACTACTAAAGGTGTTGGTACAATGGGGTTCACTTGGCTTAGTGCCTTAAAAATGCTAAAAACAAGTGGTGTATTCTGTCTATCTTTTCTGTATCCCTCCTCAAGTATTAATATCTAGGGTACAAAGTGAAGCTTAGCACCCTAACTATATCATGTGATGCGCTGACCAATTCTTTCGGAAGTAAACACTTAATACAAGCCCTTTATCACTGCGCCATTCACCTATGAACTGACAGTGGCAAATTTTTTTTCAGTTATTCAACCTCGTTGACGCTTCACGTTGGACCCAGCCCTGAACTTTAACATCAAGATTATTTGTACTCATAAAATTTTTCAAAGCACCATTAGAGGTTGACTTTGTCATAGAGTCAGCAAGATTACTATCTCCTGTAATCCTACAAATTTCTGATAGTTCTCGCCGCTCATATGACTGCCAAATGGCCATGATATTGATCATCAACCTCTTTTCCTTTGTGGTGCCAAATTTGGCCATGTGTTTGTAAAATGTGAATGAATCAGTACAGATGACAACTGGGTTTTGGTTTATATTTAGCTGCTTGGTAATTGTTGAGAAATAAGTCTAATGCATTGCAATTCCAGGATCCTCATGACCCTTATTGTGGGTCTGAGTTGTCATCATTAGCCAGGAGTTAGGAGAACCGGAGAGCAAGATACCCTGTACAATTAGCTTGTTTATCACGTGGTTATTGGGTTATTTTGTTAGCGTGCACGGACCCGCACTCAAGATGTAAATCTCGAGTGTTGGATCTGTTTTCATGGATGATTATTTTATGTACCTCCAACAAGTTGATTTCATAGACAAGTCTACCTTCCATGTTTTATATTAGAACTCCTTAAAGTGATCATTACACAATACAAGGACTAAGGTTTTAATAGTAATCATATTTAAAGTAGTCGAAATCGAAATGGCCATATAAATTCCTGCTACCATCCTGTCAAACTCCGAAACTAGTACAGCCCGGGTAACTCTCTTGCATTTGGTAGAGCTCTAGTGTAGAATGTTGGCCTGTGGTCTGAATTTCCCTACTCCCGGAGATTCATTTCCCTGAACAATCACATAACCTATTTAGGAGCATAGGTTATGGTTGTTGGCAAAAGAGCTGTTGACAAAAACAAAAATCTTAGTAGACTCCAAATTCAGAGGTATGTAGTGGAGTCCACGGCCTAGATTCTCCATCTGCCATTCAAGGCGCTTGTTGAGAGCTTTCATGTCTTCTTATTCGGGATTTTGATGTTGTGCAGCTATCGAAAAATCAAAAGCAGCTTCTGGTTGGCAAATCATAGCAATGTAAGCGCCACGAGCTCTCTGTTTAAGATAGGTCTCTCTGAAGTCGTCTGATTTGGGGTTAATCTGATGAAGACGTTTTCCTTGTCTTTTCTGAGTAAGATTGAGGCCATCTCCATTTTTATCAATCACCAATTTACAACCATTAGACATCAGTGGATTATCATGAGTGAGCTTCTCTAAAGGCTTAACGAGCAGTTCTGCTTTCTCAAGTTCAAGGCCCTCTTTCTCAACAAATCTCTCATCTCCTAGGATGAGGGTGTCATTGGTTTGCATGCCTACAACACCAAACGGCCGGAGGGCAAGGCTGAACACTTGTACGCGGCGTCCTCTATGAACCTGGGTGTGAAATATTCTCCCAGAGCTAAGTCCAGTAAATTTTTGCAATACCAAACAAGTTGGCCCTCGAGGCAATGATTCAAATAACTCCACCACATCAAGTTTTCACTCCCAAAAAGATCGAATCCTACCTAAGCCTCATCAAGTTTACAAGTACGACCTAGTACATCCTCATTCCAATGACCACACCTCTCGTCGACTTTCTCTGGCCTTAGCTGGTCACCAAATACACGCCCACGCCGATATTTTTACCCGACGGAGGAAGCAAAGCGTGGAGCACAAATCTGGGAGATAGCTCTTTGGGATGAACGTGAGAGGGATCAGGACAAGTTAACAAGATGATGCGAAGGAAGGATATAACCTCGAAGGGCGTCAAATTCCGAATTTGGCTAGGGGTTTTACGAATTGAGCTTTGTGCGCCCCAAAGCTTCTCTTGCAAGAGTACAGCTGACACTATTAAAAAAAGCAGACGATGGAAGGTGCCGTGATCCGCCTCCTGGTGGTGTTCTCTGGTATAGTTTGAGTAGCCTGGACACCTACTTCACTTGGGAAGGAGACACCTCAGATTGCATTTCGCGCGGAGAAAAGTTAATGGATGATGGAGGCATGTCTGGATAACTCAGGGTTTTTGAGGCGTTCCCTTGGGTGGGTATTCACAGATGAGGGTTGACTTGGAGCGAAGAAAAAACCACCATAACTTCGCAGTGGTACTTGCAAATGAAATCTGGGGCATGAGTGGTCTACTTTTAAATTGAGTCATCTATATGTACATTTCTTTGATATTGTGTCAAAACTAGAT